TCCAGCCAGGGCATTTCTGTTGACCACGTTTCCAGACTCGATTCCTGTATCCAGCCAGGGCACGTTTGAAGAATTCGAAGATTCGATTCCTGTATCCAGCCAGGGCTCATCTGTGAGCAACCAATTGTAGATTTGATACCTGTATCTAGCCAGGGCATATCTGCATGAGGAGACTGGAGATCAAACACCTGTAACAAGCCAGGAAAACATCCGTCTTTCTCAAATACACAAATTCTCGCTAAGGAATCTCTTATGCGATCGACACTTTCCAAATGGCATCTATAAGCCCATTCCCGACAAGTTTCTGTCACATCTCCAGATGGCATCTATAAGCCCATCTCCCTGTCCACCATCTCTCCAAATGGCATCTATAAGCCCATTCCCGACACCACGTTGTTGAGACTCCAGCATGCGAGTGCAAATTTCCGGGCACTCTAGTGTCCAATCTCCTTTTACCCTCGAGTCACGAAAGGCAAACTTGCCAATCTAACTCTTCGGGTCCAAGAAGATTGAACAGGGGCAACTGTTGTACCCCAAAATTTGCCCTCCCATTTCCTCAACATTTTCTCATCACAAGACCTTTGAAGATCAAGATCCAGTTAGGGTTTCCTCTGCTCAAGACTTCTCCTTGCACTATGGACTCAAATTAGGGTTTGTGTTTGCCCAAGGATGTTTTGACCTAAAATGCCTAAGATGACTTTCATGCTTCATATTGGACTCCCAAGTTTACTCATGCCAAGTTTCAAGTCTTGATTCCAAGTTTTGCCCAGTCAATTGGACAGTTGACCTAGAAATCAGTTGTATTGGGGAAAAAGTCAACTGTGGCCAATTGACAGTCAAATCTCATGAAATTTGATCCACATCAACATTATGAACTCATATGAACCATTTGATCAAGTTTGGATCACAATTCCACAAGAAATTTGATCAGATCACTAAAAGGGCAAAATGGTCATTTTTAGGGTTTTGACTGTACAAAGGCAATTTTTGACTGTTTGACCTAGCCAATGGCAAATCAAGCTCACATATGGACTCAAGGACCCCATGGAATTATCTTGACATGCTCAACAAGCTCAAAAGATCCCAAGTGCACAAGATTGACAGTTGAATTTCCCAGTCAATTGATCAATTTTGACTGTATACAGAAAAGTCAAACTTTGACTTTTTGGTCAAAATCAAGAGTCAAGATTCATTTTTCATCAAAACATGCCAAATCATGAAACTTGTTCACCAAGAAATCACAAAATGCAAATTAGGGTTTGAAAATGAATTTTTTCATAACTTAGAATTTTTCTAAGTTATGAAAAACCCTAATTTTTTCCCAACTTTGCCCCATCTTTTCACCAAGATCCATTTGGATTCAAACAAAAGTCAAAACATGAAAGTTGTAGCTTGTTGCATAATCTACAACTTTGATTCACAAAGTTTTCTCATTTGAAGCTTGTATCTCAAGTTACAATTTTTTGAATAAGGGCACTAAACCATTTTTAACTTAGTGAGATTTTAACCTATTTTGACAAGGTTTTCTACCCCACTTCAAGGCCATTTTCCATACCCTTCCACTTGGAATTTCAACTTGCATTTCAAAGATGGATTGTAGTACACATTCCAAGCTTTCCAAAATGTCCAAGAACTCATCAAACAACCTCATAACTTGAGAGATTCGAATTTCACAAGTTGGCAAAAATTCACTTTTGTTCTTAATCAAGACATGTTCATAATCTTGCAAATTTGAACTCAGCTTGCTTTATGCTTGATTACAGGTCCTTGAACCATTCCATACTCAATAATTTAATGCTTATTCATTGTGCCAAGGCCATGTTCTTTGTGTTCTAACATTGCATAGTGGATTGATCTCAAAGTAGATAAAGTGCTTTATCCATTTTTGTAAAAAGCTAGCTTTGTGTCAAATTGAAATCCAAGCAAGTACAGTTAGGATCTCATTGGCACAAGTTTATGAGCTAATTTCACTGATCAAGACAAGGGTTTGCAGCTTGTTATGGGGGCCTGCATCAGTCAAAACACACAACTTGCATTTTGTTGCTTCACATAGAAGAAAAGTGCATAACTTATCACAACCCTCATCTCAGCTCAAAAACACAAGAAAGAAGTTATCAAACATATCAGAAAGAACATATCCAAGCTAACACACGAGCCCTTGCCCTCTCAAACACTCCCATTGCCATAATCACCTTAAAACTGCTCAAACAGAGCAACCCCTACAGATTGAGTGCTATCTCTCAATCCCTTCGAGCATTTTGGTCCAAACCTGTTCCTCTACCTTCCTTACAACCTATGCAAGCTAACCATGACCTAAAACCTGATCTGTAATCCCTCTAACAGTTTCCACCATTTTCATTTTTTCCTTTTGCAGTTGAAGTTCTATAGCTTGATTCAGAAGCTCTCAAGACAAAGTAAGCATTGAAACAGCATCCCTGGACCTCAAGGAAGCTTTTCCAATCATTACCTTGCACTAGAAGTTCCTCATTCTCCAGATAGAAGTTCAACTGCACAGGTAAAACTTTGAACTCGTATCTCTCTTATCATGCATCTTTAGTCTTAAGTTTGTGAAGAAACAAGGTTCTACTCATAGCCCTGAACATGTACATATCTTTACATTTCATTTCTTTTGCCTGAGTAGAGAGAATTTGTAGTTTGAAAATGGCAGAAAAACTAGGTTAGGATTTGGAGGAGGAGAAATTCTCCCTCATCTTAGAGAGTTAGGTCAAGTTCCATACATGGTTAGAATCGTCTCTTCATGCTGAACATTTGTTGTGTTATGAGTTTTTGCTAAAAAGCCAGGAATCAAGAGTTGGACATTGAAGAACAGAGGCGCGCGTTTTTTTTCAAATGTTTGTGCTGGAGGTTGAAGACAGTGGCATTGGGCTGGGCTTGTCTTGTGCTTTTCTTTTCACACCCCATAATTGCTATTACACCCCCCAAGCCCATTTGTCTTATTTTTAATTCTTTTTGACTTTTTCTTTTTTTGTTTGACTTGTTTCTTTTTTCTCAGCATATTAAAATTTTGAAAACATTTTTTCCATCCTTTTTTTGAATTTATGGCATATTTATTTGATTTATTTCTTTGTTTATACATAAAATATATGCATATTTTTATTTAGAATAAATACAAAAATAGTGTAAATACATGTTTTTATTTTTATTTACCTTCTGAAAATATTTCACATAAAAATACCTTTTTATTGATTTTATTAAAAAAAATTAATTATTATTATTATTTGTGTATAATATTTAGAACTTAATATATATATATATATATATATATATATATATATATATATATATATATATATATATATATATATATATATATATATATATATATATATATATATATATATATATATATATATATATATATATATATATATATATATATATGTTTATTAATATATTTAGGTTAGAATATAAATACTTGAATTTTTCACTTTTATTAATATTTGATACAAAAATACTTTTTTCATAATATACTTCATTTTATGTTTATTTTTGTACATAATAAATAAATACTTGTATTAAGTCAATTAATATCCATTTTCATTAAAATTAGGGTTTTTTGCCCTAAATTCAAAATACTCCAAAATAATATATTTTTATTTTCTTTTCTCTTTTACATAAATAATATTTTTTCATACATATACAAAACATTTCTTTTGCATCTTGCATTCTTATTTAATTTTTGTACATTATTTACATTGCAAATATTCAAAATGATGTAATAATTTAGATTTACATTACTTGTCAATATCCCCATTTGAACATTTGTACCCCCTCCCCATATTTGGTTTTGTAATAGTTTAGTAAATTTAAATTTCGCACTTTATTGCTTTCTAATAATAACATGTTAGAATTAGGGTTTGTATGTGAAAAAACGACAAAAATAGTTATGACCTAATCTCAAGATAAACAAGCATGAAAATGGACACACAAATCACACTTGCATCCCCTAGGGTATTCCACTTGTTGCCTTTCAAAATTGGGCCATATTGCATGTTAGGTCTCTTTGGGCAAAACAAACAAATTGAATGATCATAGTCCCTCGATAAAACTTTTCAAAACAAACAAAAACAAATGATCAAGTCCCTTAAAGAAAATTGCCCAAAGACATTTAACGCCGTTGCAATTATGGTCTAAACGACGACCCGCGCCTGTCCCTTTCACATCCTAACATAAGTTTGTCCACCAAATTCAATGGTGGAACAAACTTGTTAAAAGGGGTAAAACATAGCAATAATCTTTTGAGAAATTTAGGAGTAGATAACCTCTTAGTTACTTGAATCAAACTTGCAAAACAAAACACTTGCCTAATTTCAAAACCACACAATACTACACTTTCAAAACAACTTTCAAAAACAAGTGAAAACCTTTTCAAAAGACATACATCTTTGTATACATCCCCACATGGATCATTACAAAGGTTGCCACCATATTGGCCTCTTTTCAAAACATTTTCAAACCCACACACTCAAGCACCATTTAAAACAAATTGAAAACACAAGGCAAGTGATCTAAGCAAGTAACTAAGAGCCCATGGATAACCATGGATAGAAAGGGTGCTAATACCTTCCCTTTCTATAATCTACTCCCCGAACCCAAGAAAACATCTCAAAAGGTTTTTGCTGTGCTTTTTAACCTTTTCTTAGGATAAAATAAAAAGTCGGTGGCGACTCTTGCTCAACCGAAACATTTGCGAAAACAAACGCAAAACCTCAAGTCAGTTCTCCCACCGTATCACAGTAGCATTTCACCACACGATACTAGAAGAGTTATTGTGTCCATTGCACTTGGTGTTTATAGGTAACTAAGAATGGTGTATCTTTTATTATAGCATTTATTTAAATTGTTTTGAAATATATATATATATATATATATATATATATATATATATATATATATATATATATATATATATATATATATATATATAGCATTTAGGGAGACATTTGTCATCCCCAAATTTTGCCATCCATAACATTTTTATGAAAGGTTCCAAAGATTTCATATTCGGGTATGGGAGGACTCTTTATGAGGTATTTTTTGTAATGGAATGTTTTATGCCAATCTGATTAATGTCAATAGTTTAAAATAAGTTCAAATTAATCTTTAATTGATTATGATTGTTTAATTAATCTTTTTATTCAATTGGCATATAGAATTGTACTCTAAACTCCATAACCAAGAAAGTGACCTCAATCACAGCTCAAAAGCGTTCAAATTCGTCCTTTGATAGTGGATTTTCCTTCAAAAATTGCATTGTAACAGGTAGTGGACATGTTTATCTTGGAAGACCATGGGAAGAATATTCGAGAGTTGTATACTCTTACACTTTCATGGACAAAGATTGTTCTCCCCAAAGGATGGGAAGATAGTTGGGGTGGCCAAAAGCGCAACTTGTTAGTATTATCATACAATAATAAATCATGCACGTTGATTTTATGTCTTTATGCAAATGTAAGTATGAACTTATTATGTTTTGTTTGTGTGTAAATACAGGACGGTATATTATGGAGAGTACAAGTGTAGTGGACTTGGATCCAATATGTCTGAAAGAGTTCCATGGGTACAGATGCTAAGGGACGAAGAGGTCCAACCTTTTATTGGAATCCATTTTATACAAGGGGATACTTGGCTCATTAGTCCTTAATCCAATACCGTTATTTTGATTTTTCGCAATCATAAATAATCCTTGTGATAGTTTTAAAATAAGAAATTTCATTTTTATAATTACATATTAGGCCAAATGCATCTTTTCATCCTTTAAGTTTCACAAAAATAATATTTTGAGTGAAATAATTTTACTTGTGAGGAAGAATTTGTAAATGGTCTTGTTATTGTTTTAATTATTGAGTGTTGTACTTTTGGAAAATATAGTTTGGTTTTGAGATAAACCAATTATAAAATTTCTATTTTGGTTTTTAGAATTTTGCCGGAAAAAATCTATTTTAGTTATTGAGATAAGTCTGAAAATCTCTAAACGGTTCGTTAGCTTAGTTTGGGTAAAAGATACCTTTAGTAGGGGATAAGGTTGTAAAATCTCAAAGATCAAATTGTATTAAGGTTTGTGGATATAACTTGTAAAAGCTCAAAGTATATAGTTAAAATATCAAGAAGATCTTTTGGGGACAAGAGTAGGCCAACGGTCAACTGAACCTGTATAAATAATTGGTGTAATCTCTCTAACCCTTACTCTCTTTATTTTTTGCTATTTACTGATTTTATTTCCGCTGTTATTTATTCTTAAGAAATTAGTAACATAGTTTCAAGTATAATTGAGAAAACCACTAAAGTAATCAAAAAATTTTAAATACCACAATTCACCCTCCCCTCTTATGCTTGAAGTCACTTGTCCAAGAAGTGACGTCAAAGTCTAACAACTCTTAAAGACTAATCGTCCTAGGAGGAAAAATGACTTTAGGTTATTCATTAAACAACATGTCATTCTTTAATAGAGAAGGATATAGTTTGTGGAAAGAGAAAATGATTTTTTTCATATAAGGGATGGATCTTGGTATTTGGAATCATGTGAAGAAAGTTCTTTTCTCCCTACAATTAAAGTTAACAGTGTTGCAGAAAACAAACCTGAAAAGGATTGGACCAAAGATGATAAAGAAAATGTGTAGTGCAGTTTCAATGCAAATTTTTTCATTAGTACCACTCTCGGTTTGGATGAATTTTTACGAGTTTCTCCCTACGAGACTGGAAAAGAAATATGGGACATTCTCAAAATTATCCATGAAGGAACTAAGATAAAGAGGGAAAGGTTGAGCATATTAACTCGTGAGTATGAACTCTTAGAATGAAACTCGAAGAGAGAATTAATCAAATGCAAACTTAATTTACACATATCGTGAGACATATAAGAATTCTGGAAAAATATTTTCAAATGAATAATTAGTTGTAAAAATTCGTAGATGCATAAACTGTAGCTGGAAACCAAAATCCATGTGATTGTAAATCTAAGGAAGGATTTAGAGACTATGGACTCACAAATATTTTGGAAAATTTCAAGAATACGAGATGGAACTAAAAAGACATGATGATGACAAAGAATATGACAAGAAAGAGAGAGAGATGTGTTGTCATCATAAAAAGAGGGAGAACGTGGATATATGTGCTTGCAAGTATAATATTGATAATCCCGCAAAAATGTTCTCTCTTAAGTTTTGATGACGACAAATTTTACAATTGTGATGTTGAATTTGGTAGAAATAGCTTTCAACTCTCTGATGATGGTGATTCAACTAGAAAAACTTCTCAAGCCTTATCAAGAAAAGAGACTCAATATTTAAGTTCTTATATGATTGATACATCTGACAATGAATCTTGAAGCCTCAGAGTAATGAAAGAGAGGAATTGTGAAAGCTCGTTAGGTTGTTTCTATCAGAGTGACTAAAGTTTTGTAAAAGTAAGGAAGTAACTACTAAGTTCTAAAATAACTCACACACACACTTTAAAGTATTTTTATAACCATTTTATATCTTAAAAATATTTCCAGGACTGAGCCAAGTGATTAAGAAATCTTCCACTATTTTTTAAAAGGTTTTTTGAACTACCCACACTACTACAAAACGCGTAAACAATAACGCCACGGTCATCACAGTTATTTCTACACCATGGTGACATCTTTAATCTAAGGCGCTACCATATTATTTTTGTTTTTTGATTAAAAATTAATTGTATATAACAACGGTTTTAGAGTCAACCGTAGTGATACCATCAAGTCTTCATGGGTTCGAACCTCAGCGCCCTTATATATAATTCTTTTAAAGTTAAGGCACGCCTTTTCATTTTAATTATTTTTTAAATAATAAAGTTAAAAAGTTATGACTACGGTTGGTTTGTTCCATCATTGTAATATATTTATAATAAATAAATACTTACCAATACGGTTGGTAGATAACCATTGTGAAAACATTTACCCATATATAAGCGAGTTAACTCTGACTTATTGACAGTAGCGCCATTTCCTTCACAGTGAAACCCTAGCACCTATCTTTTTTATTCTTCTTTGCTATTATCCGTGAATCTTGTACTTCATAAGTTAAGGTATTCTTATTCTTCCATCTTCGCTATTAGCTCGTTTGTTGATTGTTGTTTTTGTTGATTGTTCTCATTTTTTCAGATTCGTCTTTACTACTTTGTCTATGGGACATATTGTTTGTGTAGCTATGAAAAAAAGTACAAGAAGCCTGAAGCTATGATGGAAACTTCATCCACATCGTACTTCTTCTTCATAGCTTCACAAACAAGATTATTTCCATACTCTATTCACATGTTGATAACTTCATATTGATTCATGTTCCACGATTATTTTAAATAAAATGTGCATCCTGAAAACTTATAATATATCTTTTTCTTTGCTCACAAATTCATAATATCTGGTTTTGTTGTAGGATGTTGTTTGAGTTTATTATATTCTATGTAGATTATTTGTTTCATTAACCCTCACTTAAAATACATCCATTTAAATTGACATAGATACTATAATCTGAAAAATTAAATTGTATTTGAAAACCAACTTATATCAATCATTGTTTCCGAATTGCATGTGTCTCATCGTTCATTTCATGTTCTTTTACCTATAGATTATGGTATAACGACTTGGCTTCTCAGATGCATCGTTGTCTTCGATTATAGTTAAATTTCATTAACTATAATTTATTAGATAGTCTGCCTCTTCATCAACAGTAATGATCGTAAAATTTACGTTTATAAAAATTACAATGATAAGTGATGATGATGAGGCAGATTATCCAATGGCTTGTTGTTATGGAAATTTAACTATAATCGAAGATAATGATGTATCAAAGGAGTTAGATCAATAAACCCCAATATACATGTAAAACAACATGAAATGCAAGATGTGACACATGCAATCAGAAAAAACAATGGTTTGTTTAAGTTGGTTTTCAAGAATAGCTTAATTTTCAGATTATATATTTCTTCATCAATAAAACAAGAAATCTACATATTATATAATAAACTCTAGCCACTTTTTACAACGATTATATATTTTAGCCGTGATCAAAGGTGATTTATGATTTATATAATTTGTGTTGATGGGTTTCAAACCTAGTACCTATGTGTAAGGATCACAATAGTTAATAAATATAATCGTTGTGATAAGTGGCACGCGTCATGCCCTTCAATAACGGTTTCCAGACCGTGATAGAAACAAAGAAATTAAAACCACACCCTACCTAACAATGGTATGACCCGCGTGATGGTATCCCTTTCCCAACTATTGTTAAATGGGTTTTCCGTAGTAGTGCCAGTCGATTAGGGACTTAAGCCAATCAATTGGAAAAAATATTTTGAACCAAACAATTGATTGGAGAATTAAGCCAATCAAATGGAGAAAGTCTAAACCCTTAAAAAAACTATTAGGGTAGTGTTAGATAGGATTTTTCACAAAGATTAAAATCCAACAAAAAGACAAAAATATTCTTTGGCTACTTTGAATTATGAGAAGCCGACTACAGAAACAGTCGACCGGGAGAGATTTCATAAGTAGTCAATTGGGCTTATGGACACAGTCGACCAAATAGAGGCCTCATGAGGAATGGATTGAGCACAGGAACGTTAAAAATTCCAAAGAGTGCATAACTAGCAAAGAAAGGTGTTATGGATGGAGAACATGGGTTCGACAACATAAATGGAGAACGCGGGTTCATGGAGGGAAGTTACAAGACACACATGGCATACAAGGAAGCGAAGCCCGTTAGAAAGTAGTTATTTATGTGTATTATAAAAAAAGCACTTAGTGCATAGTGTTAGAGGTTCAAACTTTCACATTCTTATATGCGAGTCACTCAGAGTACCAAAGCAAACGAGTGAAATGAGTTAAGCTAGGGCAATGTACGTTTGAATCAACCTATTTTCAACTATTTTTGATGTTATGTTATTTATATTTACAGTTTAAAATGTCTTCTATTTTATTTTACAAGTCTTTCTTTATTGCTTATAAACTCGTTTGGAACTAGTCGAACGAATCCTTCTGAACACACTTTGTGAAAACACTAAAAAATTGAAGCATTGTACTGAGATTCCCTGGTCGATCTTGCCAGTAAACTTTTTGTTAAGAGACCAACGTTGTTTACCAAAACCAGAGGTAAAGAAATTTGCATGCCCAATGGGATAGTGCTAATAATTTCGTATTTGTGTGTGGTTTTATAAAGTCTCTTGTAGTTCAGTTCGTGTGTGTAAGAATTTAAGATGTGGTAAACAGTTGTTGAAGTCTAAAATGCCACGCTCTGACACAAACACTGCACATACACAAATTTTTACATAAAATATAGACATCATACTAGTGAGCGCCACAACTCAAAGCGTGGCGGTTTTATCTCCTGAGAGATCGACCGTTGTCATGGTTCATTGACAACAGACATAATGGCAGAGTCTAGGCATGGGATATCACCATATGACCCAAATCGACCACTCTTTCCAGGGGGTACAGGGTCACCATTTGTCCCTTACCAGTATGGTATGCCTTATTCCATGATGGTTGGGTTACAGTCGAACCCGTCCACATATACAGAAAACACAGTGGCCACTAGAAACCAAGGCAGTTATGTCCTAGATGGTCGGCCAAGTTGTGTTGGTTATGTCCCTCAGTCGACACCATCTTTGAATACTACGCCTGTC